TGTCAGTTAAAACATATCTGGGAATATTCAACTGATCGATTAACTAAGCTGGAAAGGAATTTTTTCCATTCACACACTCCTGAGAGGTAATTCCTCGTTCCAGTCCAGTTTCAGCAGCCATATTCTCTGCATGAATATTTTGCCCACGTTACTGCGGTCTGATGACCCAATGGATCAAAAGCTTAGCTATTTCAGATAACCTGACGTTAGTAAAGCTATCTTGATTGTTCAGAGCTGTGAAACAAAGTGATCTCCCTTCGGTCCCAGAGCATTCTAGCGTTTCCACACTTTTTTTTGGATTCAAAAGGAATATTCTGGTTTGAAATACATGCACAGCTCAGGATGATTGACACCCTTTATGTAGCTCCATACCTCCACGACGAAGCTTTGACTAATTCAGACTGAAGCTCTTTGCTTCTTCTAAAGTATTTCCTCCTGTCAGGATATCGCCATAAAAATCCTTAGATGGACAGCGCCGCCCAAATAGTCCTGTCTCATGCAATGCATAAAGTTCGCGAAAAAACGGCGGCTCGTAGTCTGTATGCGTAGTAACCTATACACTTGAACTGGGGCCTCGCGGCTTGCTTCCAAACATTCTCTTAATTTCTTTGCGATGATTAGTATTGTCGATACATCTGCTTAATATCGGCACTAAAGGCAAAGCGATGTTTTTCTAAACCTGGAAGTACAGAAAAAGATCTTTCTGAATTGTGCCTCGCTCAATAAAATGGAATTTAGCGAATAGCCACTGATGATACACGATGCATCGAAAACAACTTAATCGAGTTGAAGTTTTCTCGGGCTAAAACTGCGTGATGGGAATTAGTAACAAGTCACAGTTATCCAGGCATAACAGGTTCCATGTGATTTAAGCTTAATATTCGTTCATAAATTCCTTATACAAATTAGCCTAGTCTTATTAGCATCAACGATTCCATTGTATTCAGTCTCTTAATACAATTTCTTTAGATTACTCCAGCAGAAGTAGATCATCTTCATCGGTAATTTTACTATGTATCTACCTTTTTATCACGCGAGTATGTTTTCATAAAATGCTCGCAAATATCCTTCTTCAGTCTTTACGACTTCCTTACCATATCTGGGAAATTCTAATTGGAAAAACTTCTTATTGCATTATCGAGACGTCCTTTATCAAACAATAGGAGTATTATTAACCAGCAGGTAAAACCCCTGTCTTAAATAACCAAATTCTGTTTGAAATGATGTTCCATTCAGCGCTTGAACTCTACTTTTCTTCAAGATTTAAAGAATAACTAATTTCCTATCAACAATTGATTTTTTCAGGTATAGAAGTTATGTCTTACTTCCACCTCCATTGCTTCTTTCGGAGGGTTTTTTCCCAGGGTTTGGGGAAAGTAGGGAGTTGCGTTGGACTCTGAGGGTCATTTGTCCATATGGAGAAGGGATGATATTTCGGAACAGTGGCTACACGAAAATTTGAATTGCATTCTTCCGGAATTTTAGACCATTCACCACAATTTTTTTTTTTTGACGATAATGAACCTATTTCCACACTTCATTTGTTTGAACGCACTACATTTAAGAGGGCATGGTTTCCTTAAGGATAATTTTTTTGAGTGGAATGAATGAATTTTAACAAAACCTTTTGGTTTGCCCGATACTGGGTTTAGGGGAAATTGATAGGCGATTTTATGAATGTGTTCTAGTACCAAAGTTCGGTTTTTCAAAAAATTTAAAAATTCATCGAGTAATGGAACATCTTTAGATTTTAAGGTAAGCTCAAATTGCTTCCGGGTATCCTGTCATTTCTGAAGAGAATGTTTATAAAATTGCGTTAGATTAGCCTATCAAGATTTACTCTAACGTTTTTTAAGGCGCGTAGATTGCGTTTGGTAGATAATAATCGGCGAAGTTCTTAGGTGATTCTGTGAATTTTTTTCTTGATTCAAAATTTTTGAATATATATCACTATCGCCCTTTATTTTCATATCTTAGTCTAAAGCTTGAACAGTGACTTGTATCTTGCAATCTCGATTTTTTGCTTCTCCTTTAAAGCCCGCCTTAAATAATAAAGTTTTTTGTGTTTCAGTTAGCTTCTTATTTTCAGCAATTAGGATATAAATTTGCATTTAAAATAAGAAATCTTCATATTTCCAGAGAACTGAGGTAATGGTATTTCAGGGCAATTGTTAATTAATTTCAACATTATATAAGTATGGTATGCATAATTTTGATTTTAATTTTGAAAGGAGGTTTTTGAGACTTACCTCCATTTTCTTCCCCATCGTCCTCCAGTTCTGCAGAATTTCACAAGATTCCTCTTGGGGACCTATCAGGACTGGTAATCCTCTTTACTTGCGTTGGAACATCAACTGTCCTGAACGAACAGGGAGTACTCAATAGGTTCAATAATGTGAATAGACAACACACAGCAAGGGTACAACCCTTATTTTTTATCGTTACAGAGATTTCCGGACTTCGGAAAACGGAGACCAACCACTGGGGGTCGGAACGTAAAAATCAAAATATTAACTAAAACTCTAACTAAACTAACTGGATTAAAGGGAGTAATAGACAAGGCCTACTTAAGATTGCCGTTAATTAACAAAAAGCCGTAGTAGTACAGAACTGCTAAAACTACGATACGTTTAAAATTATCAAAGGATTAAACCTCGCCTTGAAGGCAACCACAAACGAGTAAACTACTATGGCCGGCTGGCCCTTCTAATAACTCCTTCCTCTCTCTTGCCTTGGCAAAAGCCACACTTAAGTACTTGGCGGTTTAGCAAGACAATTTGCATAAAAAGAAAAGAAGTTAAGTGGAAAAATAAGAAGTGATAGTAAAGATTTAAAATAAAATAAACTTAAGTAAAACATTAGGATTTACAACCCGCTGGTAGACTGAAGTACCGCTGTTTTAATTCATCAAGATCGCTTATTCCTGATAGTGATTGCAATTTCACTTCTAAAATTCACTGTCTCATTTCGAACGAAGTCACGCAGAGAATGTTCCAGTTTGTGACTTTGCTTTCAGACAACCGCGTTGCCTATTCAGGATATATTACTTTATCCATATTGCTGTTTTCTTCTCGGTCGGTTAGGACCAAAATGGGATAGCATGGTAGTTGGGACTGATATTAATTCATAAAAGTCAAGTGAAACTTAACAACATTATTTCTTTCAAAATAATAATGCCGCTTAACGGCAAAGAGTGAGTAAGTAACAATTAAAAATTGACTGCCCTTGTTCGGGCAGAGGAGCGGAGACTCGTGTGGACCGAGTGCATCCCTACGCTTACTGATTAGTACTGGGCTCTCGCCACTAACATTTCGTGGCGCTGCAAACATTAAGCCAGTACAAATAGACATAAATATTCTAACCGAGAAGGAACAAAGATTATACTCCTAAGCAAATAGGAGAAGGTAAATATTATAGTTTTTTAAACAATAGTCTTATGTTTTCCCACAAAGGGAACAAGAAGTACCAAATTAAAAATAAATTTAACAACAGGAGTATAACAAAAGACGTACTTTAAATAATTAGATATTATATTTCTTAATCTATACTTTTAACAAGAACGATGCTGCTGCAATTTACATAAAAGTTTACGAATCACCGGATCACCCTGTATTAGACCTCGGAATTCGGGGCGGGGCATCAAACTTTCAAACACTGTACAAATTCTAATATACATATAACTGATCATTGTTTCAGGGACTGAAACCTCAATACCGTTACAACTAATGTACCAGTTAAAATTTCAATTGCAGTTTATACTCGTAACTTTAAAAACCGTTTGTTTAGTGCACAATGGAAATAAGCTTCACCCAAGCAGAATGAAATTTGATGATTGCACAGTACTTAGCAATGCATTCCTAAGGAAATGTCATTGAATCCTTTAAAGAAACCTTCCTAGATGTTTTCGCTAACTTAGCAAGACAAGGGATTTCTCTTTGATAATATGATTTCGAGAAGCTGGAAGCATTCACCGGAAGAAGTATAGTTGCCGCAAGTCTCTTTTGAGTTCTAACAAAATGAACGATGTCGGGATAAATGTGATAAAATGTCCCAACAAACAGTATAAGAAAAATAATTATTATTCAATTTTATGCGTTGCGAAGTAATGCTCAATCATAAAAATTCATTCCTTATCTCCATCTTGCACCAAACAAACGGTTTCTAAAGCAAACTGCATAATAACCGAAATTTCAACTGGCATATTACTTGAAACAGTATAAGGGTGTCATTGACTGAAACGATTTATTTATTTCCTAATTTGGGTATTTTTTTAATGTTTGATGTGCGCGACTTTTGGATCGTACAATAGTTGAACGTCGTAGTAAGTTTTGACACTACATTTTCTAAATAGATTTTGCACTTATTTTTAAACTGAAGTGAGCAGGAAAGATTCTGTTACACAAATACGTAATCTAAAAAGTCATAAAGAAGTTAAGCTTTCAAACAATTTAGGAATTTTTTCTTTAGAAATTTCTAACAGCTGTTCTTTTGATGTGATTCTTTATTAATCAACTAAAAATCAACGAAAATCAACCAAAAATGATTCGTTAATCCAGTTATTGTTTTCTTAGTTGATAGGAAAACACTCAGAGTAACTTCGTTTGAAGTTTTATTATTTTAGTCTATAAGACTTTCACGTGGGCAAGATATTTCTAGACCCATTTAGTAACTCACCGCTGACGCTTAGGTTCCATGAACCACAGTTTTACGCATCTCTGACGTAGACTATTAAAATACGATACCAAAATAAAAAATATTTGACTTAAATTTCGTATAATGCTCTTGATTTATGTGCATTAAAGGATGGACTCTGTATGAACTTAGTATATACGATAAAATATTAATTAAAAATATCAAGTACGAAAAAGAATGCTATCTATACAACTTACAATTATTATTTGATTCTTGGACTTGCTCATTATTTCCATTTTACAAAAAAGATTTATTATTGTTTGATGACTTGAAAGTAAGACAATTCATTCCTGTTTTTTAACCTTTAGGGGGATCAAACGGTGGAGGAGGAAGCAGTTCTCTGCGATCTTCAGATACTCCAGACGACCTGTCGCTGTCTCCCGGTGGCTGCCCGACCCCGTCGTCCGGTGACCCGGACTCCGAGCTCTCTTATACGGTCGGAGTGACCGAAAATACACCCTATGGGTGTCAGTTTTGCGACAAGGCCTTTCCTAGGCTTAGCTACCTCAAGAGACACGAACAGGTGAGATGTTGCTAGTGGTTGTAACCTAAAGCTAATTATTCTCAGTTTGGTGTAAAAATAACCGTAATTACAGCCGATTGTAACTTTAAAACAGGGCTGGCGTCAAATATAGGTGATATAGGCTGCTGAAGGTTAGGAGGGAACGAACTATGAATGATAACTGAATGAAAAGTATATTTGCTTTGAATGCTTTACATGCTTAATTTGTACCGGGCCCCAGATTTACTAATCGTCTAGACCCGTGTCTGTGTTAAAACTATAAATTTTTGTACTTCAAAGATTTATGGTAGCTTTGAATATCTATTGAGAAACAGTATCTCGTATTAATTGGTGATTTTTAACTCTTTCGGTAAGGAAAGGATGTATTTTTTAATGTTCTTACTTAACGCCGTCGGCAGGGAAGTTGACCTTACGAGGTGTGTGTGTGTGTGTGTGTGATTATGGCAAAGCTTTGAGGGCTATCTGCCTAAGGGGAGGGATGCCTTCGTGGAGGACTTTCTAAGGGAAACTGGCTCGTATACACGTTACACAGTTTACCTTACGAGGAAAGAGGTTATCACCCATTTACTCCCTGTCGGTGGATCCATTCATTTCGCAGTGCCTCCTGGGGATGTGAGCTCTGTGACGGAAAAAAGCTCACGGATCAATGCAATTGGAGAAGTAATTGGGAATATTTTTGTAGCTCATTCTGACGGAGGTTTTGCGAAGCACAAATGACAAAAGACCAAACTTCATTCCTAGGCAAGCAGACCTACGGAAACTGGCTTCAAGATTTTGTCTAAATGCTCTAGCTATTAAACTTATACCCCAGTCTATGAAAAGCTGAACTAATCACAGCGAAGCAAACACGAACTAGCATTCGATCGGCGATTTCGCTGACTCAGCTGCAAATTCACGCATGCTCAGTTTTACCTTCAGTGGCTGGCTACGTCTTAAGCCCTCACTCATAGCTGTGAACCTTAGGATTACGGCAATATTAATGGCTGGATTATTGTGTCAATGCTCCCTTAAATGCCTCGACGTAATACGATATATGATGTATGATGTATGATGTATACGAGGCATCCCTTAGATGCCTCGTATACATCACTTTTCAAACCATCTTAAGAGGGTAAACTAAAGAGTTTTAAATGCAGGTTGTAGAGATAAATGCTATAGATAGAGAATGTTTGTTTTCCGAATTTCTTCCATAATAACATGAGAAGGAAAACAAACAATAGTTGGAGTGGACAGAAATGCAAAAGGTGTCTCACTTTTAATTCTCGCTAAACAAATACTCTAACCGCAAAATATCCATATAAAAGTCGTAAGAAAAAGTTTTTGTTCGACTGCAATATTTGCTAAGGTATTTTCATAGGAATATTAAGGAAGTAATAGAACATTAGTGTTGTTTATTAAGTTTCCAATCATTCTGTTTCAGTTTCCTTGGCTAATAAATAATGTACATTACTTTTTTTTAGGATTAATACCATAATAGTCTCACTGCAATCATCTGAAATATTAAATTTCTTTCTCCGCCATTAGAATCATAATTTATAATCAATGCCAAATATTTATCCTATTTCATCACTCAAAAAATTAAATTAATGAGACACATCATATTTGCTTCTTTTTAATTGCAGGTCTATATCCCATTTTCAATGCTTCATTTTCCTTGTCGAAATTTGCGTTTTTGTATCTGTAACACGCTTGTGGTTGCGACCGTCAATTAAAATATTTGAAAACTATGTCTATGTCTAATAAATGCCATTAATTGCAATGCAATAAATCATGAACATGTTCTCCTTGAGAAAATTATGTAATATAACAAAATAGATAGTTATATTGTGACAAAATTGCAAATCGGGAGTTGTCTTTTGCCCTTAATATTTTTTATATGATGGCAACAGATTCCGTGACAAATTGCTCACCAGCTATTGGTCGACCTCATATCTAAATTGATATTTTTCACAAGCTGAAAGACAACAACAAAATTTATGAGTTGTCGTTATAACCACGCTATGATTAGCCAATTAATTTAATTGACCATAAGGGACTACGCCTGGCTCATTTATTCCAAATGGGATCCGAAGCAAGAAGCTTCGTGCAACTCACCTACCTTGATCTTATTTAATTATTATATTAAAACTGAATTGCAGTCGTGTTCTCAATGTTTCATGTTGTCATATAATATTTGAGGTTTAAATTGGTATTTTTTATTATTCAGTAGCTACGTAAAACATCCACTAATTTGTTGTTCGAATTTTGCTAATAATAGCAGGAATTTTTAGTCCAAAAGGGACGTTCCTTATTGTCTCGAAAAGGTATTTTGCGTTGAATCTTTATAAACGGTGTGTCACGCGAGACTTTCTATCGGAAATCCAAAAGATATGCTGTTTATAAATATTTTTTTATTTTGAAGTTGAATCGAATTTTATGTGGCGTAAGCGCCAAGAGCACATTTAATAAATGAAGTAAACACACAAAATGTTAATAATGAAAGGGTAAAAAAAAGTTTCGTAAAGCCACCTTAGCAATCTCAAATAGTCGCCAGATAGATTAAAATTAATTGGTTTTAGACATCTGCATACCAGGAATATTTATTTTGCTTTGCGAACATAAGCGATATATAAAGGTTATTTGATGTCTTAAATGATAAAGAATCGCTGCTTTAAACTCGTCTATGTTTATGTACTGCGTTTCTGTATCATAAAGACCACTGTTCCTCGTTTTGCGGAACCAATTAGCCTATCCAAAAGCCTCTAATAAGCACACTCAGAGACAAAGCATATATACATGCATCTATATATAAGACGAGATTTTTTTTTTTTACATTTTATCTCATAAAGCTTCGATGCACGTTCGTATCTCATACATTTAAAAGATGCTACGATATTTTTTGAAGGTCAAATTGGTAGTCTGAGAAGGACAAAAAAAAAAAAAGCTATCAACGTCCATTATACACGAGCATGCGTACGACTGAGTCATCGCTCCATTTACATATTGATATATCTCAAACTGCATACACTGCTAGGTATACCATCCCCAAGCCACACACACAACAAGTCACTGACAAGAGGATAATATAACAACAAAAAGCGCAAGATATTTATCGGGAAATTTCAATCCAACCCTTCGTGTTTCGAAGCATTTACCACCTTTGGGCAAGGTTGACGAATTTATTTTAAGTTTTTCTTCTCATTAAACTCCATATTATCAGTCATATATTCATTCGTACCTTTCGGGATGAAAAATAGCATAATTAATGACAAAAATGCGCAGCTTGCGCACCTGGGTATGACTAATAAAGAACCAAGTGAACCCAAAAAGTATATCAACCGGTTTTGGCGCATTTCCGCTCATTAAAGCAGAGGAACACGACTAATTTAGACTCAATAAATCAATAATCGGCTGGCAAATTGCCACTTAGGCGAGAGATTATCATCAGCAAATATTTACACGCCGGGACCGGACTAATCTCCAAAATCTTGGCGACCTTCGTGGACAGAATGTGTGTGTGTGTGTGTGAGTAAGTGTCAGGGGCGACGTAGATTTCCATCTTGACTGGAGGGGTTATGTCATAGAAGACCCTACTAAAACATAGGTGTTGATGCTCTGTCTTGCTTCGAATACATCATACTGACGTTGTATTGCTTAAATAAATGCTTTTAAATAACTAATGAAATGCTATTTAGTGAAGGTAGCGTGGTTGCTGATAGCATGTGGTAATAATGGGGGCTGGAGTACTAAGTAATCAATCACAATTTTTGACGTTAGAAACGTTTTGCCCCAATTTTTCCATTTTTAGGCACAGCTTCATTACCTTGCATTGTGCTGCCAGGTTTAATATTTATCATTTTTTGTCCTTTTCTTCGCCGACAAGATAGTGAATCCACATGGTCTTATCCACAGTTCAGTCGATAGTCTTTACTATTTACAATCTTAATTATGCTGCAGCGTCTTAAAATGTGTCTCCTAGAGACTGTGTGCAAGAAAATGATAAAGGTTTAGGTGGTAAGTAAAACTAGGTGAAATTATAGGTGGACAGAGATGCGAATCATGAGTGGGTTGTAAAGTTTCTGCTGCTAATAATACTATATGTCTCTACAGGGTGATTCTAAATTGTTTTTACAAATTATGAGGTGTGATAGTATTCCTCCAGTTAAGCAATAATTACCATAAAACATAGGGTCGCATTCCAGAGGCAGAAAAAAGGAATTTAGAATTCCAACCTGAACTTACAACAGTGTTACGAGAACGAATAAACGATACCAAAAGTTGCACAATCAGTTTAGTTAAAAACTCACAGAGAATGCACAAAACGGATAAAACCGACATTTTGGTGCTCGAGTGTTAATTCGAGCTCAGACTTTGATGGCAAACACTCAAATGCACATCTTTGGTTGGCAAGGAATCATCCTCGCAAACGATTGCAACAACTAAATTATCTAATAAAGGGCTGAATATTATGAAATGAAACCTTGTTAACTGGTGAAAATGGGAAATGTCAGAAGAGTGTGGGTGATCAGGCATAATTTCATATCCCAAACTGTCAGTTTGCCATATTGTTGGTACTGCCAAACGTAATCGGGCGATATCCTGAAGAACTAAGACTCCGTGTCTATTCGCAAATGCATAACAAATTGCGCCTTGTTAGACATGTGCCGCATATTTGTATAAGGTCGAGCTTCGTATATCGTTTTTGGGTCCTTAATTCTATGAAGTACTAATTCTTCTCCCCCCTTTTTGTTTGTTTGTTATTTTTATTTTATTTTATTTATTTATTAGAAGCAGCCTCGCTGCCAGCCTTCGTCTGGCTTTTAAATGTACCGGAAAAATGGCTGAAGGGAATACCAAACGTTAAATTTAAAAACTGCGTAAATTTTACTCTGCAAACAACTTCATAAAAAAAGTTATTACGTATAACAAAATTACAATCAATAAGCAATATCCATTAATACAAATATTAATAACCTAATAATAACTTAACCAACTCTCTTTGCAAAATCTTAAGACTCAAA